GTGGGCCACATTTGACTTTTGCCCTAGCACAGTCGATTTTTAGGCCTTTGAGCAATTGACTGAGCAAACTTTCTCTACAAGGCTTGAAACTTGACATGGATGATCTTGAGAACATATTAGGACAATGGTGAGCATTTGGAATCCCTTGGACTCAAGTATCTTGATGCAACATGAAACCCTAATTTGAGGTAGACTGTCTTAGGAGAGAGCTTGTCTGGTCAACCCTTGGACTTCCTTGAGCAATTTGAATATCTTTCTTGAAATGTATTGAGAAATATGAGAGGGAAAATTTTGGGGTACAACACATACCTTCTTCAATCGAATGTTCAGGTGCCTTGGAATAATATGAATATAAGATTCTTTCAGGATAATGAATGAATGCTTTACCGAGAAAATTGGTATGAGCTGCATCACCAAGCGTCTTATGCCACAAGGAAACAATATAATTTGTCTTCTATCACAACAGAAGAGATATCCGCCCGGTGAGAAAGAGTCTGACAGTTGGCTAAATAGGAATTGGACTTTTGAAAGAGGTGTCAGACAGGTGTTGAGCTTTATACTTCAACCACTTTACAGTCTTCAATATCAAAACCGAGTGCCCCAGAATAAGGAGATACATTTAGCATGTGCATCATAATCAGAAGAGATGTTTGTGGGAGGAGGACCCCAAAGATCATAGCTTTTCTAATTGAACTTCCACCAGGCGAGGAACTAACTAGATGTAACGCACTGGGATTGCCTTAACATGCTCACCAGGATTCTTCTGTCTTTGCTTAAAAGCTTTTCCCCATGAGTTCACTTGGGGAACAAAGACTGGCTGCTGTCGAACAGATCAGGGAATGCAAAGTTGTGGAGAGTGCCCCCGATTGAATAGCCAGATGCCCTGACGTGGTAACCACATCTAACGTCGGTATCATGATCTGGAAGGGAATTTATAGATGGTATCGAAGTACAGAGTCTAACCCATTGAATCTCAAACAATCATGGAAACCAATGAGAATGAAGCACTGAGACAAGATAAACTCTTCTTTAGGCGTATCCTAGTCTCGCTGGTAAAAGAAGTTTCTTAAATCCACATAGTAAATGGGAACCATCTGCTGGTAAGATGTTCCAAGAACTCAAGATTATGCAACATTCCATGGTTGAAAGCGATCCCCAAAAGATGAGGAGAAGAGAGAACCTCTGTTGCGGTAGTAGGTGTAAGATTATTGATATCATCATCAGAGCTTCCATGACCCGGCTCACCTAAGTCTTCAATTGATTATCTTCCTTCTCGAATAATTCCCGACCATGGGCCAATACTTGTATGTACCACAATCAACCCCGTCAGGATCTTCATATCGGTCAATCCCCCACAGATTTATTCCATATTGATCTTTGAACATGTGCAGTAAGAATTTAAGTTTGAACCTCCAAGGAGAGTACCAAGTCTGAATAAGAATCCCCAATCTTTGAGTACCTGTTATGGATGCATGGATGTGCATGGGGTGCATGAATGGATGCCTCATCATGTTCTGTCATTTTCAAGGAATTTACATGCTTTGATTTTGATTTTATGCAAGTAAAATATGGAAGAGTTTAGCACAAACAAATATGATTCTCTAGAAATAACAGAACATGTATGTTAAGCATGTGGTAACCATGTTATGTATGCAAATACATGGGATCAAAGTTCCATCACTTTTGAATATGATTGTTGCACTATTTCTAAACCATATGAATATTACCATATCAAAGGTATGACATAGCTTCCGCACATATAAGAACCAAGTACCATGTAGATCATCAATTGTACGGGATTAAGGCTTTTGGAACACCGGATAATGTTGAGCCTTTTCTGAACATGTTGGGAATACCAAGATCGAAGGCCTGAATGAACCTCCAAATAAACAAGTCAGGAACTCATAAAATAAATCTGAGAACCATAGTCACCAACAGAACATACGGTCACCATCTGAACATAGTCACCATCTGAATAAGTCACGAATAGTACCAGGAATAATCATCTCATCCCCACTCACAGGTGAAAACTAGGCCAGGGTAAGGCAAAGTTGACTTGGAATCATAGGTTTTCTTGAAAGTACTACCGCCTTACCCACGGACGTGGGTGTCGGTAGTAATTCATTTAAACCTCAACCAAGCGCGGACCACATGAATATGCTAGTGAGGACCAACGTCCAATAGCCATCATGATCCACTATATTCCTAGTGTCCTAGTGCACTCTAGCCTGGGTATTGGGCCTTTTACCTCATAGTAACATCCCAACCCAATCAAGAAGCAGATCCAGTACAACAGTAGTATATGGAAAACAGTAAAATGCAATGCATACATATGCTCAGGTAATCATGTATGGATGAATAAACTGAAAGCATAAAGATAAACACCCAAAGAAAAGAAAACAAGAACTAGGAGCGACTCCGAGATAGACCAGCATTTGGTCGAAATATCCCCAGTGAAGTCGCCAGTTGAAACAATCGGCTAAAAATCATTAAACAATGAAGTCGCCATCAAACATCTTGTATCCCACATGTAGGGAAAGGTAAACATCGAGAAAACCTAAGAAGAGAGAAGTCACAGTCTTGCGATCGAGAGATTGGGTAAGGGAGTCTATTACGCGAGGGGAAGGTATTAGCACCCCACACGCCCGTAGTACTCTATGATATTCAGTATTGTTATCTATCTTATGGGTGTGTCTAATTTATGCTTACTGCTTACTACTGAGGAATAATGCATGCAAAATAAAGGAGAAAAATAATGTATGGAAAATAAAGTTGTGCTCGCTTGGGCCCTACCCCAATGCATATGTACCCTTTTTGAGAAATTAGAGTTACCATAGTTCGACTCACATGTTTTGTTTTTTTTATGTTTTTTATGAACAATGTTAATTTCGCCTTCGAAGGAAGCTCGACCTTTGGAGACTCATGTGTTGGCACAGAAGTAAATCAATCATGTCCTTACTTGAAAATGGTTTCGAGTTACGCCCTCGAGGCAAGATTCCACATTTGATTGGTTTGTGTTTACCTTGAAAAGGGGTTTAAGTGTTATTAGCATATTTTGTTTTGCTAAGAAAAAGAGGTTTTAGTCTTAAATGCAAGAATGCAAAAAGGGAGAAAACAACTAAGGGAGACTAGCCTAGCACTACCCCTAATGTTATCATACAATTGTGGCCCTAACTAAGGGAGACTAGCCTAGCACTACCCCTAATGTTATCATACAATGGTGGCCCTACGTTAAGGATGAAAGGGAAATATCTACCTAATGTTAGCATGCATGGCTTGCCACCTAAGGTCTAACTTGCATCCTAAAGGAGTAAGCACATCCTAAGGAAACACGGTACAGAAAGCGAATAAACAAACAAGCTCGAAAGAGCACACACATGAAATGGTAAGGAAAAGAAACGAAATGCTTTAGTCAAGGGGAGCATATCACCCGAGACAAACAAGCGGGAGTAGGATGTAAAACAAAAATGTGATGTCCAAAGCGACTGAACACCTAACCAAGATATAGAAGATCGAGGTAGATGATAGAAGGCAATATGAACAATCATAGAGTATCAGCATCGGCCAATTCGAACTCCTAACAAAGCGTGAGGGTTTGATTGCAAAACCCTTCCCCACTTGATGGACTCGATACACATGAGCAGACACAACTCCGAAGCATCATGGTGCGTCACGAGCTAAGGATGACACGGACGAAACTGTCGGGGTTGATTGTGATCCCTCCCCATTCGCCTGTTTTTGAGGGCTTATCATCTGTACATATGCGGGCACAAATATAAACACACGTGTGGAATACCTACTTCAAAGGTAGGGTATTAAACAACTACAAATAGCAAATAGAATGCACACAATGTGGAATTTCCCTAAACGGGTCTTTAAATAAACCAGAGGGATTCCTGACATGATCAGCAACGGAGATCCCCATCATACATCTCTACCTTACTTCTCATGGCATCATAAAGCAGTAAAGCTCTACTTCTTATGATCTCTAGAAAAGCGGTAAAGTGTGGAAATGAGGAATAAAAGTGAAACCACGGTGATACCTAACGGAGAAGGTCTGTTGCCTCTTCAAAACCATGCAAGCGATAAGAAAAATCTACATAAACTACTTTGCACGAGTGATCAAAGAATTAATCTCCAAGCATTACATATTGCAAAAGTTACATCGACATTCTATCACAAAATCTTGGCTAAAAATGACAACAAAAATGAATACCAAACATAGAGTAATAATAAAAAATTCTAATAAAATTCTAAAGAGAAAACCTAAGAATTCTAAAATATTTCCTAAAATATTCTAACTATTTTTTAAGTTATTTTGTCATGCAATAAAAATTAACAAAAGCCAATAAAATAAAATTGATAAAGAAAAATAAAATGAAAATGTAAAGAGTTCAGGAGGGTGCTAAGCTGGACTAGAGATGTTGTAAAGAAGTCTGAGCACTAGGCCTATCTTAGCAAGGATCTAGAAACAGTTTTGTGTCAAGCTTCAAGAATATTTAAAATTTTTGCTATGGGCTCAAAAGCTTAGGTCCAGGCCTACTCGGAAGGAGATCTAACAACATCTTCACCATATTTTTATCAATCAGCTTAGTTGTCGTTTGGAGCATGAATAGGGTTAAGAAGAATGACTCTTCAATTTCCTCAGTCATAAGCGCTCTTCTTCTCAGATCCTCCACCGCTACGTCAATGATGTGCCTCCGTTCGGTTTCGATCCATCAATCTCAATTCGTTCGATCCGCTCGTCAATTCTCAATCGTCTTCGTCGTTGTTAGCTTCGACTTAAACTCGTCTTCCAGTCCAATTCATACTTCACGGTAAAACTTCAATCAGTCACGATTCATATTGTTTTGGCTCAAGTCACGATTCTCTTCGTCTCAGATTCGATCCAAAAGAGAAAGCAAAAACATATTATATGCTAAAGTAGAGGATTGAGAGGTGTTACCTACCAGAGACGATTCCAATTCTCTTTTAACACACAATGAGAAATCCAGAGAAATATGTTCTCCCAGGTATGTTTCACTTTACTCTGCTTGATTCCGCTTCCTATTCATCTCTTCCTCTTCGCATTTATGCGGTGCATAATTACACTCACGAATAATCGTGTTTAACACTGAGAATTTGATGTTATTTGTTGATGCAGAGAACTCGTGAAGCTTGGATGATGAAGTTGGCTCGGAGAGATGAAGTGCAGTAGCGATACGCAAAATTGGTGTTGATGGAGTTTAGAAGATGCTTGAAGTTAAATCTCAGTGAAGATGTTGAAGTTGTTCTTGTTGTGCAAAGAATATCAAATCGAAGATGGAGATGAAGGGAAGATGCACAAGTGGTTATTATTGATTCCTTGAGAGATGATGATGCAGAATTCTCGATGAAGATGATGACGATTGAAGTCGTTGTGCCCAAATAAATTTGAAGGTGAACGCAAAGAATTGATGCTTGAAGATTGAAGAAGATGCTGCAAATTGTTGGAGGTTGACGCAGAGGGAAAACAGAGAATAATTTAGAGGTGGGTTTTTCTGTTGAAGCTTTTTTCTGTGATTTCTTTGTGTGTGTGAAAATGAATCGTGAAATCCCTCCCTCTCTTTTCTCTTTTCTGTTATACTCTGTTGGGAGTTTTTCAAAACAGATAGGAAGTTATGACAATTTGTTACATTCTGTTATGCATATTCTGGAAGTTTGTTAGAGGGTGAGTTAGAGGATAGAAAGTTAGTTGGAATTCGGTTAGAGAATTCTTTTATTTTTCTGTCAGGAGTTTGAGAAGTTAGTTACAGGTTGTTAGTTGGATGGAATTCTGTTAGAGAAAACAATTAGGGGTTAGGAACTGAATTAGTTAGAAAATCGGTTTTTGTTTTCTGTTATGACAGTTAAGAGTGGTTATGGAAATTCTGTTGGTTTTTTCTGTTAGCTGGTTTTCCGTTAGTTTCTTTTTCTAGGGACTATTCTGAGAGTTAGTTACTAACTGAATTTTTGAGAGGGAAATGAGAGGAAGTTATGAAGGTTTGAAATTTTGTTAGCATGAGTTGTTATTTGTTGTATTTGTCAAAAAGCGCTTAGCTATTAGTTAGTGGTTAGTTAACATGAGCTGGAAATGAGATTAGGGAAACAAAGTTTCTAGTAGTTAGTAAAGTGAATGCAGACTGACAAGGGTTAGCATGCCATGTTTGTGGAGTTGTTTGATGCATTTTGATTTAGGGTGTACTCTTAATCTTATGACTTATCTTCAGTTTGTTTTTCCTTTGTTGATATGCAGGGTCCGGTGATGTATCAAAGCTGGAAAACATGGTGCATCTTGGTTCCGATGACAGTGGCGATGCACCTCTTGGAAACATGGAAGCTTGGAGCAAAGATAATCGCAAGCATGAAGATAACTTTCACATGTTCTTTAAAGATTGCATCATTATTTGTAATAGCCTTTAGAATATATTTTGGATACAACTTGTAATAGAATTTGAAAGTGGTAACTTGTAATAGGAACCTCTTGAATTTTTAGTCTTTCTTTTAAATGAAATGTGTAATGAACATGAGTTTTTGATGATGAACTTTGCCTTGAAAGAAATGATGGCAATTTCCTTTGTTACTTGAATCCTACAAAATTAACATGGATACCATTTCCAAATTTAATCATGAACCAGATCCAAACTTATTCCCTTGAATAGATTGAATTCATGAAATCACTCGAATGAATGAATTCCCTTTCATTTCTCAACTGACAAATCAATTTTCCTTTACTAATCCCATTTAACTTGCATTTCCAAGCAACATATAACAACGAAGAGAACAAAATTGTCTTGATCAAAACTAATCCATAACTTCACCTCGTATGCCATGTCTCACTCTTGCAATTCAATCCACAAAATACATTGACTTAACAAAGTCTTTTCAAATGGTTGCCTCAACACATTTCCTTGAAGACAAATATGTCTTAATGTATAAAAGAAACGAAGACCTTAAGTCTAGTTCTTCAATTGATCAACCAACGAACTTGAGCAACGAACCGAAACCCTAATCTCCTTGCCATGAACGCACACTGATGAGGAAGCGAGTTAATATGGTGATGAGAAAAAACCTTCTTTCAAAGCAACCTCTGATGAAGCCTTGATGAAACCCCAAACGCTTGATGCACTTGATAAATCTTGACGAAGATGCTTCATGAACTTTGTTGCTTTAGGGTAATAAAAACCCCTCAATAATCATGAACAGAAACCCTAGCTCCACAAATCCTGATTATTGAAGAAATCGATTGATTCATCCTTGACTGGGGATGAGAGCCTAAAAGCACAGAGGAACCCTAAGTCTTCAATATCCTCGATCTAATGCAAAACTTATTGGTTAATGATGCATGATATGCAAAATGACCTAATGGGAGTTATGTACATAAGAAAAGTGTGAGATGCATAAGCCAGATAAAAGTAAAAGGGTAGGACAAATTTGGGGTATTACAACAACACAAAGCAATTTTCAAAACAAAGTGAGTTAAGCTATTAAGAGCCCGTAGATAACTACGAATGAAAAGGGTGCTCACACCTTCCCTTTTCATAACCTACCCCCCAAACTCAAAATCTATCAAGGTCTTTCCTGTTCTTTTCACCCTTTCCTTCTTGGATAAAATAAAAGTCGGTGGCGACTCTTGCTATCCGCAATATTTGCGATAAAATACAAAACTAAGTCAGTTCTCCCACCGTATTACACTTATCTAGAACTAAAAAGTGGGAGTCGTAACATTTTCCTAATCATTAGTATCACTAGTAGGAACCTCCAACTCAAATTGAGTCTTTTCCGCCTTTGTTTTTTACTCTTTAACTTCTAGGTCCTTGCACTTCATCCTTATATGGGTGTCATCAAAACTAACACCTTCGCTTATAATAAAATTTGATCCTCCATGCTTAAACGCAAAAACTAAAAAAACTTTTAGATTGTAGTAGTATGCTAGTTTCTCACTTTAAACATTAATAAGCGTATTGAAGCCTATTTATATGGATGAACATTGTTGATCAAATAAATCACATTAGTAATAGCTTCACCTTGAAAACTATTTGGTAACTCAACTCTCAACATCAAGCACCGCATTGGCTCCAAAATGATTACATTCATGTGTTCATCTAGGTTATTTTATTGTGGTGTGCTAGCTACTACTTTATGCCTGTTTATACATTATTTTCTGTAAAACTCATTAAATTTCTCTTAAGCAAACTCGAGACCCTATTAGTTTTTAAAACTTTCAACTTAGTTTCCATTTGATTCCTACAATAATTCCTTAAATTTTTTTCAAAGGTGGCACTTTTATGTTTCAAAACATGAATCCATATTATTATAGAGAAATCATAAATCGTGTAGAGAAAAAATAGAAATCACCCTCATGACTTTCCACCTTTGTCAAATACTCAAATAGTCTACTCGAATTATTCATATCACTCAAACTTTATTTCAGATTGTTTTCCTAATATGCAATGATCACATAATTCTAGTCTATTTAATTTCTCGCTACCTATCAAACATTGTTTAACTAGTTTAAACAAACTACCTATCAAACATTGCTTAGCTAGTTTAAACAAACCTCTCTTACTAACATGTCCTAATCTAGCTTAATTTTATAATAAAAATTTGATTAACTATTTTAATGTATTTCCAATAATATTGGAACCATCCAAAATATACAAGACAGCAATTATCAATGCTCTGGGAAAATTTCACATGTTCTGTTCAATTATAGTGTAATATCTAAATCACCAAAAATGCTTATAGACAACAAATTTATATAGTTTGAGAACATATGTCACATTGCATAAAAATAACTCACATCTTATACAATAACCTAAATCACCAAGCATGCTTATAGACAACAAGATAGAAGTAGAGACCCAACACACAAAAATCACTTAAGAGTCTCAACAGGAGATTATAAAAAAATTACAAAAAAAAATGAACCCTTCAAATTCATAAAAACATTTGATTCAATCTCTTCTCCTCTTAATACATCAATTAATCAATCAATCCCAATATGATTCTGCTGCTTTCCTCTGTTTTCGACTTGTATATGATAGGATATATATTTATTCAGTATGAATTACAATGTAACTACGTTTTAAAAAATAAAAATGTTCATATTCATAATCCTCTGTCAAGAAATCTAAGTTATAGTTGAAAATAACTACTGTCCCTTAGTTATGAACTAGCAAATCAGAAAAATCAATTCCCTTGGACTTGTAATATCCTTTTTCTGCATTTGTCAATCTTCCTTGAAACATTCTCCACTCCATTCCACACCTCTCTTTAACCTGTTACCAATACAATGCAAAATATACACAACAAAATCAAAATCCATTTTATTCATACACTTTCTTAATGTAAAAAATATATATTTCTGTCAATTAATCATAATCGTCGAATAATTTAAATTAAAAAAACATTTGAACTACGAAAGGTTCATAGCATACCGCCCGCCACGCCGGCTTCCCAGTTTGTGCTTCTCCCTATCAAACACAAATACAAAAAATTTAAGTATCAAAATTTATAAAGCTTCTTTTGAGTGATTATATAATCAAATGACAAAAGTCGATATTACTAGGTTAGAAACCAACATCAGGGTTATAGCGTGACTCTTCCGGTTATGTGAATTTCTAATGATTTTTAACAATTTGTCTATAGATAAAAATAAAAAATAAAAAATTTACCTGATCCCCTAATGATGGAATACCTTGGTGAACAATCCATTGAGCATCAACAACTCCAATTTTCTCATGGGCAGGCTATAATATATGAAAGATGGTATTAATTCAAAATTCCATAGCATATAAAAATTATAATATAATGAGAGAAATAACCTTAATTTGCTACCTCAACACATTTTCTAAAAGCAAAATCAAGTCCCCATCCATGCACAAATTCATTCTGCAAAAACCAATGTGTTACTGTCATCAAACTAACTACATTTGAAATAGTTGAAGTAAAAAAGAGTGAGCAATGCATGGAACCTGAATCATATGCCACACACAGCGCCACGCGTCTCGCGAAAACACAGGAGCCATAATCTCAACAAATGCTGCACAAGGAGGAAGAAGAGGGTATTTACACTTCCCCGGTTTCTCTTGTGTTTCTCTAATAGAAAAAACCAAACAAATAATCAGCCAATAAACCATAAACTCATTCTTTCAAATGAAATTATTTGTTTAGTTCTTACTTGTGAACTTCACTATCATTTCTTCTTTTTGTCATATTCCAAATCAAGCCTTTTTGAGGTTCTAAAGCTGGCTGTGAAATCTCCAAGCCATGCTTCTTCACTAGTCTTATGTATCTGCAAATGGAATTTAACATGCATTTGAAACTTCCTCAACAAAACTAAGACTAGAGTTTGAAGAATCGAATACTAATAACAATGATACTCACTCTTCTGCGTTAAAATGCTCGACTCCAAGATCTTCGTCCCATATGAAAATATACTCATATGATGCCACAATATCCGGATGCAGAAACCTCTTAGCATACCACCTAAGAAGATAAAAACTTTGAGTTTGGTAAACAACAGTTACGAAAAATGTGACAATGAAAATTTGTAATCCAAATTTAAACAGCAAGAAGAGGATATAATTTACCATTTGGTTTGTTTGTGAACACTCACATGAATAGCCCGTTTCGACCACTCAAATTCATCCCATTCAGTCGTTCGGCCATCGTAATGAAATAGTAAGATTGTGAAATCCTTTGAAAACTGTTCAAGTGCCATGGTTATATTATTTAGCTTAAAGAAACATACAAAAACATATCCAAATATGGAGAAAGAGAAAAAGGACCTTTTTCACAGCTGCATCAATGTTGTTTTTCTGCTGATATCCAACAGTGAAAGTCACTAGGTACTTTGGCTTAGAGGTTAAATCCTACAAGTTAATAGCAACTTAATCAAATTCTATGTACATAGAAAAATCTACTAGCTATGCACATAAGCACTTTTATGCTATAAACATGTAATTGATTTGTTTATCCAAACATATTCTCACCTCATTGGGAAGACCCCACAATCGGCGCAAAAAGAAGTCTGATTGAGCATTAATAATCCCAGGAGGTAATCTTTCAGCACCTCTAGGATTTGTTGGAACCCAAATCTGCACAGAATCATCAAAGTAAGTGGCAGTTTTCTGATTATCATGTAGATAGATTTTTTTTAGTACCTGATTATTCTTCATGAAAGACCATGCATTGTTCCCGCGAATGCAAGCCAAATCAATGGAAGGAAGCAAACTAGATGGGAGACTCAACTAAAAAAAAATGAAGCATTCTAATATCAAATACAACAATCATAACATGAAATACAGAAAATACTCAATTTGAGCACCTTTGTTGTAGAGAATGTTGGAAGTGATAGTCCTATAAATAAGCCAAGAAATCCTCCAAAGAAAAATATCACAATGAACTTCATACTTTGATTTGGTTTTCTCTTGGAAAAGCTGCAACAATGAATATGCACTTCAAGGGAGTTACTATAGCATATGTAAAACTTATTAGAATCATACAGAATAACAAAAATACCCCATTATACTTCAAAATTTTCTGATTGTATCTTCCATATAAGAAAACCTAGATGTTTGTTGAATGAATAAATGAAGTAAAAAAATATGATTGTATAAACAAGAAGAAATATCAAAGCATGAGAAAAAGCAGTGGTTATGAGTATAATAGAAGGAACTTGATTAATAAAGCAACCAAAGTTGAAACAAGTGAAATGTGAGTTTGAAATATACACGTGATTTTCCCCTAACAATTCCGCAAGTTACATATTTGGTCTCTTTGATAAAATTAAATTAAATTAAAAATACGCAACCGCGTAATAGGCACTAGTATTTAATAACCATGTACTACTTTTTGTATCAACATGGAATTTTTTTACGAATAAAAAATGGACTTCTCATCTAAACAAACTATAGATGAGAAGGAAAATTTATTCGGGTTGAGAAAGAGTTAATTTTTTAACACATTTTAAAATACTGGTTATTCTAGTTTAATTTGCTCTTCCTCGACAAAAAAAAATCAACATTCAAGCTTCTCATCCAATCAATGCATTCTACTTCATTTTCTCACTACATTCAAACTTCTTATCCACAATTTAGATTTTATAAGTTTTTCAAAAATTCTTTCTTTTTTGTGTTTTGAATGAGTTTTTAGAAAATATAAATTGTTTAAGTTACATGGTAGTGTGCAATCAAAATAAGTAGTTTAAGGAGACATGGGTTGAAAGTTTTTAGGAGTTTACGGCAGCAATGACATTTCTCCCATTTTAGCAAAATTGTAGTTTAGTTTAGAAATGTATTTTCGAATTTTTTCGGAACTATTTTCAAAGATATTCATCTTTAATAGACGTTATCTCTTTATACATCTGATGGTTGGCATGTAGATCATCTCTTATATATCCTTATATATTTGAGCGAGTGATGCGGGAATTTGTCTATTTGCATATTATTATGAGAAACTCTATAAATCCGCTCCTCCCATGTCCGCCGTAGGGATCTTGATATGATACTGGAGAATTTTGAGAGTCACTTGGTACGAAAGGAATATCACCGGATACTAGTTTCTTTTTAGTGGGTTTATGCAGATCATGACATCAGACGCCTTGGAAAACCACTTGCTAATCAAGAGATACTTAAGGCTAGGGATGACCACACCAAAGATGTGTCGCCAGTCTGTCGGCATATTGTGGAGATGGGGAGATCATGCTTAGAGGCAGAAATTTTTGAGAATGGCAAACCAGAGTCGATCCTCGTGGAAGACATGATTGTCAAGACACAGGGAAGATAGGGAATTAGACATATCTAGTAGTTTTCTTTTTATTGTATTATTTTGTATTTTCGGAACAACTTATATATTATCGATACATTTTGATAATTGTATAATTTTTTTGATAATTATAAATTATTTTTTAATTAAATAATGTGTCTTTTTCTTCTAATTTATGGCCTAAAAAGGACGTAAAATATGTGTGCCTTAAAAATATCAAATTTAGTGAATAAATATTTTAGATATGCATCTTTAAGTGTATCTAAATAACGTAGATGTATCTCCGGATCATATTTTGTTGGATAAAATATATAAACTCCCCTCGTAATATTAAGGAGATTTACTTTTAGCATAAAAAATTTTTTAAATTTTTAAAACCCCTACGTACTACTCAGATTTCGTCAATTAGACACTATTTCACTCAAAAAAAATTATATTTTTTGAGCATGACATTCTAAGTTGGATTTATTTGCTTTTTATTTATTTTTTAAATGTCAAGTGGAATTTCTTTAATTTTTTTTTATTTTTATTTTTAAAATATTTGCATATATTATATTTTTTATATTATGTTTTTTTATGTTTTTTTTTTACGTTTTTTATATATTATTATATTAATTATTAAAATATTATTTTAAAACTCAGTCTAATATTTTTTTGTTTCCCATACTTATTTCCTTGAGATTTGTTGTGTGAAAAAAGGTATATAAACTCTTTCGTATATTTTTCAATGTGGAACTTAAAACTATGTAACTTCTATACTTCTTGATTCCATAACGCATCAATGTTAACTTGTTATTACATTTCACCTTTCCATTCCACCTACTCATCATTACTTCATTGAAGAATAGATCCTGGTTTTCTTTTGAGTTATCATTATCTTCCTCAGAAACATTAATTACAAATTTGAGTTATCATTGGAAGAAAAACATGCTTTCATGTGGATGTGGTTAAAACACCTGTGGAACATAAACTTATGCCCAGAATTATTTCTGGTTCAAGCTGTTTCTGCTACTCACAGTCTTCCCACTAATATCAAATTCAGTGCCTCAAAAAGAATTCCATCACGAATGTCATTCCAAAGGTCTGCATATCAACATATATATGATTAAAGCCAAGGAAGATCAAACACAAAAGCCATGGTAGCTAGATGAGTAAAGGTGGATCATCACCGCCACGTCGTCGAGTTTGCTTCCAGCTATGAGGTGTTATTCTTCTTCCTTTTTCACGTGTTGATTATGTTGTCTCATGATGTTTGTATCCGAATCGAATTTCTTAGAGTAGATTGAGAGGAAGGGAGGAGTCGACGTGGTTTATCCTGTACAGTTTCCAACCACCACTGGAGTTTTCTTTATCTTCTTTGAAATATCTAACAAGTCAAGAATATTTCACTTTGTTCACTTCAGTATGTATTCTTCACTTTGATTCAAGAAAGTCGTAACTATTAAAATTAATGTGTTGTAACCACCACTATCTTTATGAAGCATTATGAGAGAATTGTAACCATCACATTATAATGATTGTCTTTACTTAGATTTATGGAAGAGTTGTATCATTAAAATTGAGAGAACCAAAGAGTCCTCATCTTGATTAGCAACCTATTTGTATTCTCTATCAGTTTCATTCAAGTCTATATAAAGGTTTTGTAATGCTAAGATTAAGAGTAAGAAGTGTTTGGTGAATTAAAAAAAGAAGCAGAGTTTTTCAATGGTCATCCACCAGTAGAAGTATAGTACAAAAAGTGACGAAAAATAGTTTTCTCTGCAGAATCCTGCAACACTATAATTTTTCACATGCCACCTCTAGAATACCGCCAACAAAGTGGTATCAGAGCTGCAGATCCTTGCAGCTGCAGCAAAAATAACAACAGTTATGGCTTCCACAAACAACCCTTCTGTAACTTACAGCAATGTCAAAGTTCCTCTATTTGAAGGAGAGAACTATGATTTTTGGACTGTTAAAATGGAGACTCTATTCACATCTTTGGATGTTCTAGAGTATGTCAAAAACGGCTATGAAGAACCGGCGCCAACAGAGGCTGAAATATCAAAAGAAAAGGCTGAAGAATCAAGCCAACGGCTTGAAGAATTGAAGAAGAAGAAGATCACAAATGTTGGAGTTCTCGGGATGATTCAAAGAGGGGTCTCTCTATCCATCTTCCCAAGGATTATGAGAGCTAAAACATCGAAAGAAGCCTGGAGTATCCTACAATAAGAGTTCGAAGGAGACTCAAAGGTGCGAACGGTGAAGCTTCAATCTCTTAAGAGAGATTATGAAAATGAAAGGATGAAGGAGAACGAGAGCCTGAACGAATACTTCAACAGACTCTCCGAGTTGGTGAATCAGATGAAGTCACATGGTGATACGATAGAAGATCACAAAATTGTTGACAAAATTCTGATCAGTTTGACAGCAAGATTTGACCCAATGGTGGGGGTAATAGAAGAAACCAAGGATCTATCAACTTTGATTGTTCAAGGGTTGATGGGGTCTTTGAGATCCTACGAGCAAAGGATGTTACGACATTCTGAAAAATCAATCGAGAGTGCCTTTCAATCTAAACTCAACATTCAGCCCAATAATGGTGAAAATAAGCCCCAAATACAAACTAGAGGTGAGTCTTCTAGAGGTGGCAGATTTGGAAGAGGCAGAGGCAGAGGTAGAAACTCACGTGGAAGATCTGGAAGAAGCGCAAATGGCGGAAGATGGAATGAAGCATCAAACAAATGGTGCAAAATTTGTAACAGCGGTTCTAATGACGAGAAGGTTTGTTGGAACAAAGGTAAACCGTAATGCCACAATTGCAAGAGATTCGGGCACCTTCAAAAGGATTGTCGTCTTGCAAATCAACAACATGCTTCATACGCATAAGGAGAATCTGATGAAGGAAATTTACTTTTTGCTTGTCAAAAAGCATTGCATGAAGAAGGTAAAAATGTATGGTATTTGGACAGCGGTTGTAGCAACCATATGACCGGACAGAAGGAAGCATTTATAAACATTGATTCTTCATTTGGCTCAAAAGTTAAATTGGGCAATGGAGAACATGTCGTAGTGAAAGGGAAAGGAAGCATTGGAGTCACCACAAAGCAAGGAAGCAAAGTCATACATGACACGCTCTATGTACCAGAATTAGACGAAAATTTGCTTAGCATTGGACAACTTCTTGAGCACGGCTATTCTCTAAACTTTGAGAATAACGAGTGCAAAATTTTTGACTCAGAAAGAAGAAGTGTTGCCGTTGTGAAGATGACTAGCAACAGGAGCTTTCCACTATCTTTTAACTATGAGAAAAATGTAAGCATGATGGCCAGTGAGAGAATGACTCGTGTTTATGGAACAGGATACTTGGGCATTTGAATTACGAAAGCCTCAAGTTACTCTATCAAAAGAAGATGGTGTATGGGCTGCCAAGAATCGAAGAAAAATCTGGTGTGTGCGAAGGTTGTGTGCTTGGCAAACACCACCGACAACCATTTCCAAAGGAAGGTGCATGGAGAGCTAAACAAGTGTTGGAACTTGTACACACAGATGTGTGTGGCCCTATGAATACTTTGTCTCATGGCAAAAATAGGTACTTTATCTTGTTTATTGACGACTTTATCCGCATGACTTGGGTATATTTCATGAGACAAAAATCTGAAGCGTTTGTAATCTTTAAGAAATTTAAAGCATTAACCGAAAAACAAAGTGGCAGATTTATAAAGATACTGAGAAGTGATCGAGGGAAGGAGTACACCTCAAATGAATTTCATAAATTTTG